CGCCGTCCTGCCATTACCTCTCATATATGATGGATAGTGCCTTAGCAACTCCATGCACCAGTTCCCTCAGGAGCTGTGGGTGCACTTCATCAGGTCCCATCGACTTGTACACCTTCAGGTTCCTTAGATGGTCTCAAACCTGATCTCCTACAGTAGGCAGTTCTTCATTCTCCTTTCCCTGCCTTTGCCATCTGCAACTTGGGTGGTGTGGCTGGAGCACTTCCTGGTGAAGACTGGCAGAAATGTTGTTGAGTACCTCAGCGTTCTCCATATCCTGGGTAACCTGGTCTCCCACTTCCTTCTGGAGAGGGCCCGCATTTTCCCTAGCCTTCCTTTTATCACTGACATACCTATAGAAGCTTTTCTTGTTGGCCTTGACATCTCTAGCCAGATTTAATTCTATCGGGGCTTTAGCTTTCTTAATGTGATCCCTGGCTGCTTGGACAATTTCTCTGTATTCCTCCCAGGCTACCCGTCCTTGCTTCCACCCTCTGTAGGCTTCCTTTTTGTGCTTGAGTTTGTCCAAGAGCTTGTTGATCCATGCAGGCCTCCTGGTGTTTTTGCCTGACTTCCTCTTTGTTGGGATGCATCACTTGTGATCTTGGAGGAGGTGATCCTTGAATATTAACCAGCTTTCTTGGCCCCCTCTTCCCTCCAGGGCTTTATCCCATGGTACTCTACCAAGCAGGTACCTGAAGAGGAGAAATTTTGGTTTCTTGAATTCCAGGGTAGTGAGCTTGCTGTGTGCCCTCCTCACTGCCATAAGGATCTTGAACTCCACCATTTCATTGTGAGTAGGATAAGCATGATTAGCAATTGAATTATATAATTCATGGCAAAACATACTCTATCATATTTTACAGGTTCTAACAGTATTTTCTCTATAGCCCTTTTTGATTTCATCCTTCCTCAGTTCAACAGGATTTTCTACAAAGAAAACCCCTGCATTTATGTTCTGTCTTGATTTTCTGTCCTTTGCAAAGCTCTTCACTCCATGCTTAAGTAGTCACAGAAAATGCACAACTGTAACTAGGTGTTCTATACCCATTTAAAAATTCTGGGAACTCTTCCAAGTATTTATCTACAAATATAAATTATATTTACAGAAAATGAATGTTACTTGATAATTTATGGGTATCTGTAATATATAGGGAGGCTAGTACGTATGAAAAGGGAGAGACAAAAATACCTGCAGTTTGTGGGAAAATTCAGTATTCAAAAATATTGAAGTGTGCTGGGTCTCTGAAAAGCTTAGTTAGGGATGTATATTTATGCATCTGTATATATGTATGTGTATGTAATGATGTATAAATAGAATGCAATTTTACAAAAAAATATCTTTTCACCAGTCCATGACCATCACCATAATCAATTATAGGATCAGCAAAAGGTTCATTAAAAGGACAGAAATACAGATGACAAGATCGTTCCACGCTGTAAAAGTCCCACAACACTTTTTAAAGGTACAAAGTGTAAAAACAAAATATAATTAAGGACTAACTGATACTCTGATGAGGATCATGTTTTTCTTTTTGTGGTTTTGATTTTTTTAAGAATAAACACCCTACATAACAATAAAGCAACACACACGTCTTTATATAGTTCTAGGTATTTACAATGTACCCATATTTGGCCACGTAATCTCTCACATGGTGAAATGCTAGCAGCATAGTTGGAGTACATATTTCACAATTACATTGAACCAACATTGTTGCATCCATCAACGTGTATTATAATACATTTACTGAGCACAGAGTTCATAAACATTTACAGAACACTCTTGTTCAACAAAAGCCAACACCAACAAAAAAAAATCCCATTTAATTTCAGTAGAAGCCAACGCTTTACTTTAGCAACAACACTGCAGGTAGCAGGAACTGTTACTACCTCACAAATTTTGCCTTTAACTACAGCTTGTGCCACAGAGGGGCACATTCATTTGCTAAAAATCAAACACAGTTTATGGAATGTCTGATCCAATGTAACATAAAATAAACCCACTGTAATAACTAACTTGTACACAGTTACTGTACACAGGAAAAGCTCTGGATAGTGCCAGAGGAAAGTTGATGAAAGGGTCTTTATAAAGACCCATACTTTCCTTGAATAAGCAATCGTATGCTAATGTACAGAAAAAAATAGGCACAGTACGGTGTGTTACAAAATCAATCATTTGAATTTAGAGAACATATTTTTACATTACTACACTGCTAATCTTTCACTGACACAATTTTCCCCTCTGGAGATCGGGGATAAAAAATATTAATTACTTGTGCTGTAATT